TGTTGAGAGTAAGCAGGAATGTGTTGAGAGTAACCGGGAATGTGGTGAGAGTAAGCAGGAAATGTGTTGAGAGTAAGCAGGAAATGTGTTGAGAGTAAGCAGGAAATGTGTTGAGAGTAAGCAGGAAATGTGTTGAGAGTAAGCAGGAAATGTGTTGAGAGTAAGCAGGAAATGTGTTGAGAGTCAGCAGGAAATGTGTTGAGAGTCAGCAGGAAATGTGTTGAGAGTCAGCAGGAAATGTGTTGAGAGTAAGCAGGAAATGTGTTGAGAGTCAGCAGGAAATGTGTTGAGAGTAAGCAGGAAATGTGTTGTCTTTTTTACATTTTTGGCCGTCGAAATTTGTGCAATTCCTGCGGGGAAATGAATGAAAGAAACAAAATGAAGGAAAGAAACACATCATTTTGTCACACGGTTTTTTTTATGCTGTGTCCAATTTACTTGAGTAGGCTCTTGTCAGCAGAATAAAACGCTGTCGACAAAAGTAGGAGATCTACTGTAGGTAGACATGAGCTGAAATTGTCAAATTCGACGTTGTGTGGGTTAAAATGTGTCTGGGACCGATGTTCAAGCGTTTTGCCTGATTACGATAAATGCAGATCTAAAGAAAAGTATTATATATTGATTATTGCGTTATATAATAAAAACCGAGACACATTTGCTGATACTCAGATTTTAAGCTGTTTTTGTGTTAGGTTTGCTAAGCAAATGCAAAAACCAAACCAAAAAAACAAAACAACTACAAACATTAACAACAGAAACCCTCAACTGATGAATGAATTTCTCCTCCCCCCCCCCCCCTCGACAACAACAACAACTGATGAATAATTAATTTCTTCCCCCTCCCCCTCCCCCTCCCCCCAATCCTCAGAAACGCCTGATCTGGATGGACTGCCCCGTCTCCCACGTGTCCACGCGCCTCCAACTACTCATCAGCTTCTTCCGCCCCCGCCACACGGGCTACCTGGAGTTCACGTGCACCTACTCAGTCCTGCAGCCGGCCGACACCGCCCCGACCTCTGAACTGTGGGACGGTGCCTTCCAGGACCTCAGTTCTCTCACAGGTCTCTCTTTCCGGAACTGTCGTTTTGAGACGCTGTCCAGGTAATGAATAAATAGATAAATAAATTAATTAATTAATTAAAATAAAATTAATAAATTAAAATAAAACAAAAAATGAAATAATAATAAAAATAATGATAATAATAATGATAATAATAATAATAATAATAATAATAATAATAAAATGACAATAATAATAACGATACTATTGGTAATAGCTTAATAAGGATAATAACAATAATAATAATAAGTGTAATAATAATAATGATAATAATAGTAATAATAATAATATTAATAATGGCAATAATAGTAATAGTAATCATATTAACAGTAATAATGATGATGGTGATGATAATAATAAAATGATAATAATAATATTAATAATAATAATAATAATAATGATTATGGCAATAATAATAATAGTAATAATATTAATAGTAATAATGATGATACTAATGATAATAATAAAAATAATATAACAATAATAATATAGTAATAATAATAATAATAATAATAATAAT